TGTTGAAAAACTAAAAATAAAAAAAAACCCCCCCTTTTAAAAAAAAAAAAAAAAAAAAAAAAAAAAAAAAAAAAAAAGCTTTAAAGAGTTAATACGCTAAAGAGGCGATGGAAACACATTTGTGGAACAGTGAACTTTTCCAGTCCAATCATCCGTTCCCATTTGGAGCTGGTCTCTTAAGCAGGAAAACATGATCTAACACAAAGCACACTTGCTTCAGGAATGGTTTGAGGAGCACAATGGATCTGAGGTGTTGATTCAGCCTCGAAATTCCCCAGATCTCAATCCAATCAATCATCTATGGGATGTATTGAACATTCAAGACCATGAGTGCTGGTGTGAGATAGCAAAGCACACCTTCAGGTGTCTACCGGAGTCCATTTCTCACAGGGTATAAGTGATTTGCAGTGAAACAAGGAGCCAATTCACCATAAAAAAAATAAAAAGGTGGTGAAGATGTTAGATCTGACTTGTGTAAGGATGCACTATTAATTTGTCACCAAAGAAACAGAAAATGAGGACAACTTTGAGGACAAAGTTTGACTTTGAGGATAAAGTTGTCCTCATTTTCTGTTAGACTTTGAGGACAAAGTTCAGGCAGTTTGAAACCATCTAAACTTTTTTACCACAGCTCAGGCCGCACAGTAAACAACAGGTTTACCATTTCAGGTGTGAAATTTGGAAAACATTTAAAGAAAGATTGGTACCCTGGGGGTTAGAACTTGAAAGGACGACAATGGTAAGATCAAACAGACTACGCAATTGCTCAAGAGGCAAACTTGTCATGACGATGTTGAGGCCCAATAAATGAACGTGGGTTAATAGTGTTCCTTGAAGGCCCGGAACCACGCCTTTGTGTGCGTACTTCGGTGTAAACACAACGTACAATTGAGCCCATACACTCAGGACGCCCCCTCCCTCCTCCCTCCTTCTGATGTAAAGCTGATTAGACAGCAGCCGCACTTCCGTCCCCCCTCCACTTCGACCTGCCAAAAGCTGCTAATTATAGATGGACCTTGACAGTATACCGCTTCATGGTCAACTTATGCCCTCCCACTCAATGTCTAGGGCCTTGTCATTATATAAGCAACACGGCTCCGGGTCAAGGGCTCCCCACTCTTTGTTTTCCAGTGCACCCTCTCCAACCTGCAGACGGGCGCTGAGGGAGAGGGTTGTGTGGGTGGTGCGGGCACAAATTTAAAGAGCCTGTATTGTGCTCCTTTATAAGTCTATAATTTTCCCCTGGGTGTCTACTGAAAACGATGCCTTTAAATGCTTTATTGCCACGTTGAAGCTGTAAGCTTTATACGAAAGAGGGATGTTCTTTTTAGCTCTGAGGGGGCAGCCATTTGGGAAAACATTTAATGTACTGCTTGCAGTTTGAATTTTCTCACATTTACAAGGAACGTGCTTTCAGCATGTGAGGATTAATTTAAAGAGTAAACGTCCGGAATATGCCAGTTTTCTGATATGAATACCCAACTTTTTCGGGTGCGAAAAGGATCCGAATGCCGTCAATTCTTACTCACCTTCTATCAACTAGTCAAAGGAGAAGATTTAAATAGAGTCAATTTCAGCACAGAGAATGAAGACTGGAGATTTGACAACAAACTTGTGCTGTTTGTATCTTTTGGACATGCAATCTCTGACACCTGCTGGATCTGGAAATCTTAGAGCTAACACAAATTCTCCTTTAGAGATGTTCTATGTTCTCTAAAGGAGAAACAGATGCAGAGGTTTAATATGACAATAGTTAATAAAAGTTGCCAATAACGATTTCAAACTCAACTCCAAATGATTTATTTTTCGTTTAAATTTGTTAATCATTGTTTTAAAGTGATTCTTCAATCACACTCACAATGTGACTTTATCTCCAGCCGTTATGTAACTAAATGCTATTCTCTGTTGACGAGCTGGATTGTTTACTGAACCACTTTGAGATAATGGACAAAGTGATCATTCACATTTACATGGGGAAATCAGATCATTGTAGTGGTAGGGGTGAGCAGGCTTACCTCGCCACCGGCGTTCTTGCTCCAAGGCTTCACCACTTCCAGTTTCCAGAGTTTCCTTCTCTTTACGGATCTGTGGATGCAACAGTTCTCAGTAAACAGACAATTTCCTTTCTCCTAATGTCTAAATTTCAAATATTCCAATTAATCAGGGTCTCTGAAGAGGAAAACCACCTCTGCCAGGTAAATCATTACTCCCCGTTTGAACGTCACTTCTTGGTTGTATTTATTTGCATCTTACTAAGCGTATTACTGACTTTTGAAATATATGAATGTTAATCTTCTTACCTTGTGAAAAATGTTCCCCTCAAATCTGTGAATACAGAAAGGGCTGCCCATTCTCACAGTTAACAGCTACTGTCTGTTGTCTTTTCTCATCAAAAGGTTTACAATGAAGTGAGAAGTTTGGTTTGCATCCTTGTCGCAGCATCCTATTCTACAGTGAATAAAGCAACGTTAGTTGTCAAAAGCAACTGCCTGGCGATTGACGAGCTTTGTAAGAGTTAATGCACATGTACGTTGAATAGAAATGGCGGAGTGGGACACTTCGTAAAATTGTGATGTTATGTACAAAGGGTAAAGCAAAAAATGTGGTCATTGAGTGTACACTACAACCTTTACAGAGATATATCCGCCATCTTTGTTTCTGCTTCGCTTAAGGATGAGCACCGGCGCCCTCTGCTGGATGGCGGCCAAACTACAACACTTAAGGAAGGTCGAATGGACTTCATTATTTAATCGATTTAACATTTAATCTAATTAATAATGACTCGACAATTTATTATAAATACAGGTAAATTAATTTCTCGCATCCTTAATTAAAAGGCAACTTTAAATCCACAATGCTTTTCTTATAAACTAGCATTGCTTCTATTTCTTTCATATAACATCAAGCAAGGGGAAAAAACTGAAAGGCTGACCAACTGTGATTGCATGTTTAGTCAAATGCTGGATTATCTGTGACAGAAAAAGACAGGGAGCGGAACAGTAGTCAAGCAGAACACCTCTGTCTGGGTTTCCTACTGCCAGACTGGCACCCGTCAGCCGAGTCTGCAACCACATGATGACTTAAAATTAAAGTGACACTGATGACATGACTCTAAAGACTCCCCAGCGAACTGCAGACCGCTGGAGCCATGGCGGAGCCCTCCCTAAACAGAGCTGCCCTGGGGGCAAATATGTTTCAGGTTGCACCAGTTACCCCAAAACAGCAATTTTGTTCAAGGGTGCTTTGACAGATAGACTTAAAAGACTCCAAAAAAATCAAAGCGTGTCTAGAGTTGCTTTTTATTTTTTTGGCTCACACGATGAGTAGAAATATCTCAAACTGCTCCATGTCACGATAAAAAAAAAAAAGATTCAGAATTTGTTTTGTGAGTTATCATAAAAAAATTAATATGAATGAAAAATGTTAAGAATAATGAGTCCCTACCTGAAGAAGTTGCAGAACCTGCTGAGTCGAAGCACTTGTTTTCAATTGAGGGCCCACTAAAGTTTTATTCTTAAAAAAAACCAACAGCCTCTGCCCTCCTCATTAAAATCATTTGCTAAATTTGGCCCGTAAAAGCAAATGCAGCAGTTCCTGGCGTAAGGTTTCAATTAGAGTTATGACTGGAGGTGGCAGTTGCACGGGGGGATTTTCCAGTTGTCTGTGTAAATCTGTACTCAGCATGGAAGACTTGCGAAGCGTTTGCCAAGATTTTATAAGGTTTAATGAAAAAAAAAAATCACCTATGCTGTTCAGTGACAGACAGTAGAAAGCCCAAAGGCAGTTCTGTTTCTGACTTGCAAATAGATGTTTTTATCTAATTAATAAATAAATCACTCATCAGTCTGTGCATCTATGATCCTTGATTCAATCTAGAGTCAAGATTATAATGTAACTAATCAAAAAACGGCTCCAAACCCTTTTCACTGTTCTCTGAGTTTTCGCTATCTTTTTCTCATAAAAGGTTAGCATCAGACGCAACATGGTGACATATTGCATGTGGTGCTTCTCTTACAAACTCGAACTGCGTGTCAGCTTACATTTACCAAAAGTGTCTCCCTGCAGGGTCAAACCACAGTATTTCATCAGACACGCACTTCATTTTATGTTTTGATCAAGGCAACGTTTTATCTTGCGAGTCAGACACAGCAGGTGGGCAGAGACGGAGAGTAAAGAATATGCAATGTCTTAAAGAATATTTTTGAAAACCTCTTTCATAATTTGACTTTGATTCTTACAAGGTCACCGGTAGGACACACAGTGGTACTAAAAGAGGTACGCAAACAAAACCGTTTAGAAACAGTTCCAACAAAAGTAAACAAGCACACGAACCGGTTTTATGTTCAGTGAGGAAGAACTTCCTTGACAATATGCTAACCTTCAGGCATTTTGACACCAGATACGCCTAAAGATTCAAACGTGTACACACAGTGGTGTATCTGAAGCGAGGCACAGTGGTTTGTATAATGTTTGTCTATGCACAATTAATTGATTCATTTTGAGTGAGCCATAGCAAAACAGCATAGCGATGCTAGCTTTTGCCTACCATTTTAGAAAGCTGATCTGCATGAAAACATATATATATATATATATATATATATATATACACGTGTATATTTATTTGTGCTGTTTTCAAATTTTCCAGATAACATGTGAATGTGTGTGTAAGAGGATGAATAACTGAATGTAGTGTGAAGCACTGTGGAGTCCTCTGAACTTGATAAAGCACCATACAAGTACAGACCACTTATCATTTATTCCAAAAAAATGATCTCCAAATAGATACTCCATAAAAGACTACACATTACAATGATTAACTTATTGATGTGACTTCCTGCAAGCAACAAAACAAATTTAGATTCCATTACATTTGACAGCAACCCATTCAAAACTTAGGCAAGTAAAAACTCTGAATTTTTACTTTTGTTAAATTGCAACACTTTTTTTTTCTCCCCATCTTGACCTGGTCCAGTCCTCAGTAACACACATGCAGCAAATAATCAATACAGGAAGTGAGGCAGCATTTCCTCCTTTTTGTTTACTGGAGCAAAGGTAAGGTAAGTTCATAAAGTGAAATGTACAAATGAACTGTTCTAAGCAAATACGTAAAATGTTGATTAGAAAGCCAGAGTTGGTCTAAAATAAGATGTTTTATTAAAGAAAATAATTTAAAAAAATGCAAAATGTAACCTGGGATAAAGAATGTTTGCAGATTCACCAAGAGCTGAATCAGGAAATCAAAACTGAAAATGAGAAGACTCATCTCTGGTTCACCCATTTTGTCACACCCAGTTTGTTGGTAACACTTTGATTCTGGATTCCCATTATCTGCAAAACATATTCATCAAAACTGCACGAGATAAAAGCAGGGAGTATTGCACTCTGTGAGTTTCATCTTTTGAAATACGGCACATTTTCACAGATTTTTGGCGCTGTACTTTTAAGATCTGCCAGTAGCCGTAGCCATTTTTGATCTGATTCATCAAACGGTTAAAAACAGGCGCTCACTTGATATCGAGGACACCTGTATGACCCGAGGCTCTACAAGAACAAACAAGGCCCCGGTCTTGTGTTGACTGTAGGGTGTTGAATGTGATCCAAGGCGCACAAAGACAAAAAAAAAAAAAGAAAAAAAAGAAGAAGAACGGAGAGAGAGAGTCATAAGCAGTTCCAGATTAGAAGTGAGAAAAAAAGAGAGAAGAAAAACAGATTAAGATTTATGTGTATGAAAATATCAGTCAGAGTACAGACTGCAAAAATCCTGTTTAAATACAGGATTTAAATTAATGAATTCAATGTTCACCCATTGTTACTTTGAAGTTTGATGAAATTAAGATGGACAATTTCCAGAATTTTTATTTAATTGATCTTTACAATAAAAAAAAAATCTTCATACAGGCTGTGTAAAAGTATTACAGATTTCTTGCGTTATTGTATTTTATTTTGTTGACACACTTGAATGTTTTGCATCATAAAACAAAGTTCCTAGACTCAGGAACTTGTTGGACTCTAGTGGTGGACTGGTCAGTCCTGGGAAGTTTTACAAACCATTTCATGTTTTCCATTTGAGATCTTTGAGCCAACTTTGTGGTTAGATAACATTAGCTGAACCTCCACACTGCTTCTCTAGTCGTACCAAACCCTCAAAGTGCTTAAAAGGCTCTTTAAAGGCTCATCCTGGATAAGTGTCTTGCCCGAGGCCGTATTGATCTGGGAAAGGGAGCGAGCTAAAAATAAGCCCACAATTTCCCAATTGCAACATGACTACTCTTCCCTCTGAGCCACAGGAATCTATGAAAGTGTCAACAGACCCTTCATAAATCAGGGCTGGGTTTTGCAGGTAAGACTTAATTAAGTTTTTCTGGTCAATCATACTTTTTTCAGCACATTTAGTTTGGTTTGAATAGATTTTTCGCTTAGTAGCTAAAGCTGCCAGTAAAAACCTGCTTTATTTGTTATCTTTTACTAGTATCAGTGATCTGAAACGTATGACAAAAAAAGTCAGGGAAAGTATTTTTTGTTAAAGCGCTGTGCACACGTTAAGATTTCCAGTAAGGCTTCCTGTGGCAAGACAGGAAGTAAGAAGTGGTTAAAATACAGATCATTTGTAGCGTCGTAAACATAAGGTAGTTTGGGTTGGGTGTTTTTTGTTGTTTCTTTTAGTAAAAATCCCCATTTGTGTCAGAAACGTTTTGAGACCAAGGGTCAACAATAATCAGCAGCTGAATGGCGTCTCTAACCACATTTGTTTTACTTTTATTATTATTATTATTATTATTAATGCGCTTTCTACATGTAAAGCTCTGAACAATCAAGCTCCATCATACATCTGATTGTTCAAAAGGTTCCTATCAGAGCACTTCCCTCTGGAAAAGGTTTGTAAAGGTAGATTGGGTCTAAAGGTAGAGTGCAGACACCCTGTCTGCTCTTAAAACTATTCCTAAAACTTTTCTTTTTGATCGACTGCATAGTTAAACTAACAACTAGAAACCGTTTAAAAAACAAATACAGCTACAAAAACTGATTTAAAAAGATCTAAAAGTACAAATATTATTTGGTGACAAAAGATATAGAGACTGCTTAATAACCGCAAACCCTTCATGAACTCATGATTAAGCTATTCATTAAGTGAAAAGAAAATAATAATAATAATAATAATAATAATAA